TATGTAAAAGAATAAGATAACAATAAATTCAACAACAATGCTATTAGGTTGAGTTATGAAGTATTACTATGCATGGTTTACAAAAGTATTTCTTGTTTAGATAATTGAAATCTATTAGCTCAGATCGTTGATCATGATTAAGATACTTACAAGCACAGGAGCCCATTTCGATACGTATCGTATGACAACAACCTACAGGTACATGTAGTCGTCATACTATCAATATCATTAACATGTTTCTGATTTATTGATCGAGCGGGATCATCATGTGATGTACCTGTTAAATGTTTATATACGCACTGTAAATTTGTTTGTTAACAAACATTAGGCCTAGAAGAGTAAACAATGCAAACTGTATAAACTAGATTGTTTACTTTAAGAGCCGGAAGTAGAAAATACCGAGCAAATGTTTGTGTTATTTTTCTCCCTTTTTTGTGTACACCGAAACAAACCTGTATAACGGAAATAATCCTTTATCAATGATAGTTTAACAACCAGGGATATATCGATGTCAAAAATAAAACGTTATTTCCTTTTTTTGTATTTATCTCATACCATTTTCTGTGTAACTTGACAAGCAAAATGACCAAATGAATGGTCCATACGTATGTCTCCCGGAAATATAATAAAAAAAAAACCGGGAAAATGTTCATAAACTTTCATATTAGTGACTGCCGATAACATAATTTGCTTAGATAATTTTATTTAACTGTACATGTTAACACAACAAATGATGTAATTATACCCTATATATGTTTGATAGTCAGAGGAAATGAGTAAGATATACTTCTGAAGTAATTAGAGGGTAACAGTACTCATGAATATGCAAATTAAACAGCACACATGAATATGCAAAATAATGGCCGTCAATAACGATGGAATAATATTCCTCTAATATTTCTGTTACAGGACAAGCATACATAAACGTATATGACAAATGACGTGTTTAAGCTTTGTTTAAAGGTTAAAGGTGAAGCGCCATATGGAATCATTGACAAATCAGATACTAATTTATGCAAGTAAGCTAGCTACCAATGATTACTTTAGTAATACAAATTAGTACATTAATACTCAACGTTATGTTCCTGCTTAAACTCCAAATCACTCCTTCATGTTAGACTTGACGGGGGAAATGCTCTCACTCAGAAATGCCTCGTCTCTGATCTGTTGTAGACAGTATTACACAGGGAGTTGTATTGCCAATGTGTTACCTGAGTTTTAGGTATTTACAAGGACGCATCCTTCATTGCTTCTGGTACGAAACCATTTTCAATATAATGTTCAGGGATTTGACTCAAAGTCATCAATATGGGATGTAGCCCTGCATCATTATGCTTTCATCCCGTCTTCGGGCACAAGGCACTCGTGTACAGAACATTGAAGAGGATTTCTCCCGAACATTGTTGGATAGTATAAAAATAGCAATAAAGGTGCTCGATGGAGGTATTGCTTCCTGTTTCCCAACTCTTAAGGAGAACGGTACATAAATCGCTGCGTTAACAGAGTCTGTTTAGCGCACATCATTTATTCTGCAAAATTGTCAGAAGATTAAATGGTCTCCTCTGTCAGATCGCCGATTCCCGAGACTTTGAGAAGTGTTCTTCGAAAAGTATCAATGATGACCGTTACGTGTGGTTTAGAATTAGGACGTAGTCAACAAATTGATGAAATGGAAAAGGTGTAAAACTAGCAAAGTATTTTGATAGATTGTTAAAAAGCGTTGATTGGCTGCCGCTGTGCGTCTTCTTGACAAAGTCCCTTTCTGAAATCCCGGGAATTATAATTTCCTGTTCATAAAGTGTCAGAAAACAATGTTTCGCAGACAGTTAATATGCAAAAGTAAAAATCAGCAAATCAGAAAACGACAGAAAATAATGTCAAGTGATTTGGAAAAGGCACACCTTGTCCTTTAACAATAAGCTATCTGACGGTAGAGCTGCTTTCGTGCGTCGTGTATAATATAAACGGCTCTGGATATATAAACCCACTGCTGGACATACCAAGACACTCGACAACATATATTTTACTATTATACAAATTTTAAAATATTGTGCAATGTCACGTCCACATGCAGCATTCAAAGAGCACCTTAAAAAACCACGAACTACCTTCAGCCAATTGTGTCTGCATAAATGCTACAATGAAAACAAGTGACCAAAGGTTGATACTGTTCTCTGAGACTGGGAAAACAGATTCAACATATCCCCATCGATTGATTTCTTTTTTTTTATCTGATGCACGTACATTATCAATCAATGAATAATGGAAGTGTTCACTATACCGTACCTCGGCTTCCTGCGCCCATAATCATAGGATGGAAACATGGTGATTCTGAAAATTCCTGAAGTGCTGACTGTCCGATCGAAACTCTTTCCGGGAAAGATGTCTGCAAATGATTTTGTGTGTGCATGCCAGAAGCAATGCAGGACGTATCGTTGATAACTACGTAAACCCGGGTTACGATGTATAGCAATGTGTGCATGACACAAACATACTGAAGACCAATTTCTGGTACTAATATGGTCTAGTCAGCAGAGGAGTGATGTGTCATGGGACCAATGGCCCCATCGTGTCTGTATAATCACCTAATAAACTATGTCCAGGCTCATTTTGGGTTACATATGCCTCCATAACTCTAGGTTTCAATATAGACCTGCTAGACTTGGGCTTCATACGGGGTTCCATCTACACCATGTACATCAACCCCTAAGCTCCAAGTAACATCTACCTCTGACCTCCAAGGTCCAAATGGGGTTATATCTACCTCTGACCTCCAAGGTCCAAATGGGATTACATCTATCTCTGAGCTCCAAGGTCTAAATGGGGTTACGTCTATCTCTGAGCACCAAGGTCCAAATGGGGTTACATGTACCGCATAGTTCCAAGGTCAAAATAGGGTTACATGGACCCAATATCACCAAGGTCCAAATGGGGTTACATGGACCCAATATCACCAAGGTCCAAATGGGGTTATATTTACCCAATCAAATGTAGCTCCAATGTCCAAAAAGGGTTACATCTACATCATAGCTCAAAGGTCCAAAAGGGGTTCTATGTATCCCTAAGCTCCAATGTCCAAATGGTGTTACATGTACGCGTAGCTCCAAGGTCCAAATGGGCACCAAATGGTGTTACATGTACGGGTAGCTCCAAGGTCCAAGTAGTGTTAAATGTACGGGTAGCTACAAGGTCCAAATGGTGTTACATGTACGCGTAGCTCCAAGGTCCAAGTGGTGTTACATGTACGCGTAGCTCCAAGGTCCAAGTGGTGTTAAATGTACGGGTAGCTCCAAGGTCCAAATGGTGTTACATGTACGCGTAGCTCCAAGGTCCAAATGGTGTTACATGTACGGGTAGCTCCAAGGTCCAAGTGGTGTTACATGTACGCGTAGCTCCAAGGTCCAAGTGGTGTTAAATGTACGCGTAGCTCCAAGGTCCAAATGGTGTTACATGTACGCGTAGCTCCAAGGTCCAAATATGAACATATAGCTATCGAGTTTTCTTATATAAACATGTACTTCTAAATACTTATATGTAAAACTCCTTGAACCTTCCAACACATCTATATAGCTTCTTTATTTCTCAATATCCCCCGCCTCGTTTATTTATTTATTTATTTTTCTTTCTCTCTCTCTCTTAGTCTTACTTTCCCTTTTATACCTCTAGGACCTGCTCTAACCTCTTTTCTATCACTTCTAAACAATGCTTTTATATAACGGACACAATTTAGATGGAATTTAATTATACATAAACATAATTAATTATTAACTATACCTGGAAATATGCAGTTTTATTATAAATGAATATATAATGAATGAATTGTAATGTGCGAGAGGAATAATGTTTATGTATGATATATTTGCATTGTTATAAATTTGGGAAAAAAATAAAAAAAATTACAAAAAAAAAGGTCCAAATGGTGTTACATGTACGGGTAGCTCCTAGGTCCAAATGGTGTTACATGTACGCGTAGCTCCAAGGTCCAAATGGTGTTACGTGTACGGGTAGCTCCTAGGTCCAAATGATGGGGTTACATCTACCCCTAAGCTCCTAGGTCCAAATGTTGTCATATGTACCCCATAGCTGCATGGACCAAAAGGGGCTACATATAACATATAGATCCTGGTTTACATATACGACCATAGATTCAGGCTACATATTAGTTTACACACACAGTAGTATATATATATTTTAGTGTAAGTCCTTACGAATGACGTGTTCCTGTTTGGGGAAAGTACAATTTTATCTTCTGTGACTGAAATGATTAACGTTTCATTGAAATTCATATCATATGGAGTAGATCTGAACAAGCAAAATGTAAATGTTCTAAATGTTCATACTACGGAAGTAAATGATTTGAGATGTAATTACACACATTACTCTTCACTTTGTACTGTTTGTTGTGCTATTGACTATTACATAATGTGTTAAAATATGTATATACTGTTGGGTCGCAAGGCCTGAAGTCAATGAATGAATTAAATCTGTAAAACAAAACCAAAAAAAACCCACTCGAATTACATAATTTGGGGGGAATTTAACGATTAGAATAAACAATAATGCTTATTTACACACACAATACAGTAATAGACACGACCATTTACAGTATCGGGTACAAAACTGTTTACTCAACTCTAAGTCAGGTTACTTATTGATATATCATACTTTATCCATAACGTTATAACTTGGACTGGATCGGGCACCTTTACTGGATCGCGATTATGTTCAAAATCTTTAGGACACTTCACTCATTCAAAATGTCTTAGTACGGATTTTGATTTCAAATTCACTGTCGAATATTATTGATTACGTATTATTGATTACGTGTAAGTACATTTTTTTGTGTAAAGTTGTCCTCAAGTACCCGATTGGAGAGTCCGCCCTTCCCGTTTCCTAAAATTTGTCATTGTCAGTGTAGGAGTTGTCTTTCTTGTATTTCATTTTTCGTCGGTGACTCACTACAACAATTAATATGCAGAACAGTTTGTGATACATGGGATTAAATTCATATAATCATTGATAGATACTAAGTGTGTATACCTATAGCACATGTTCACTTGTCATAATTACAGCACGTTGGTTTACGTCGCTAGTGCCCCGACAGACACCGCCGTGTACGTATGGGCCTCCGTACGGTGCCGTACAACGCCCTCGTTCGGCACACCAGACCAATTGCAAGGCAGGGACAAGTCACTCTCCGTGACCACACACACACAGTACATAGCTGTAGCACACGAGCTCGCGTGACGGTCTAACACAAACACGCACTAATAACTGGGATTTATACTGGACTATTGGATTACTATTTTTATTTCATCACAAAAAAAGTAAGTACATATGTTATAGATCCCCGATCCCCCGGTACTTGTCTCCGGCCGCCCGTCCCCTAGTATGTGACACCAAACATGCCCTGCCCCGTGTACCATGTTTCGGCCCACCTGTATGGGGAACAGGACATTGCCAGTACATACCAAATGGTGGCATGTCTTTAGTTAGAACTGTGACATATCATTATAACAAATGAATAGTTGACGATTGTTCACTAAAAAGGTAAAATACTGTACCGCTTCACCTGTTCGGCAGGTGCGAATCTACCGTAGCGTGGCCATACTTTTACATGTACTTCCGTTTTGAACACCCGTGGTATTCACATTAACGAAGGAAGATAATCAGGGATTAGGAATGGTGTACATATAAATATTTAAGCCTGCATTGTATGTAAATCATCAAAAATAACAGAGGTAATACCCTCGCTCGAATACTTATGTACAATTAGTGAACATGTTTATTTTCAAGATGTGTCGCATGTAATGTATCAACAGTATTAGTAAGTTTCGGAATCACCTGTCACAATACCTGCTGATTGACAGATGTACGATCGCCCTATATACGCGTTACATATAAAGACTACTGGAGATCGATATTACCGCGTTTGATACCGTGATATTATCATACCCTGAGGTCATTATTGGAGATAGCATTATAATTACAGGAAGCCTGTCCGTCTGTTTTATAGCTTATACGTATACCCTACAGCCAGACGTACCCCGGGGATACAGCTACCGTATATATTTATATACCTGTTCACCCGACGTCCTTGCGTATTATTATACAATGTAGTAACCTGCGGATCCCGTTTAGGGTATGATGTTACAATACATTTTTCCACGGTCGGGTTGGTCTGCTTGTACAAAATGTAATGGTTTTAAACGGTATGAAAGGGTCACTGTTCAGTAAAAAAATGATCACCAACAATCTGTTGTGATCTTTTTATACGGCAAACGTGTAAACATTTCTAAAGTAAGTATATTGCTAATGTTACATAATACATGTACATACACTTGTTACATTACAACAAATCATATACTATATATAGCATAAACATTATGAAAATATGTACATGTATTATTATCGATAATAATTAGATAATACGCTTTAGTTTTCTTATACAGGTATGGGTTCACCTGTGTATACAATTGGAATCGTGAATAACTAACTGTAGTGAAGTAGGAGAAAGCTATCTGAATTAGCAGTTTATGCACAATACAGTGGTAGATTTCTCCACTGATAAAGTTAACCCCAACACGTTTTGCTGATGTATCAGGTATGGTTACCGTATATCTCACTTATCCATGTACCGCGCGATAAGGTATGGTATACGTGGTGAGCCAAATATTCTGACGAGGGGCTAAATTTAGAGACACAGACTTCCCGTGATTAAAATACCACGGCAGTTGACCATATATGGAGCTGAATAAATTAGTTTTCATATGGCCTGGACTTGAATGAGTAATTCATTTGCATGTGTGTAATGCCAGGAATGGATGATGGAGTGAGTGTATTGTGTTTTCGTTGGCAGTTGTTCAGCGACGGAAACAAATTCCCTCTCTAGCTTAAAGTTCACCATTTAATTGATTATAATGCTAGCGAATTGTAAAGGTTACTGATGCAGATGTCAATATTTATATTCCCTCGTCACAATTGACTAGTAAAACGAGAATCCAGCCCCTTTTTGTATTTCTTGTTCCTGTGAAACATTGTTTTACTAGCTGTTACATGTATATGGAGTCATGTGGCCCTGTTGTTGTCCTATAGGCCCCTATGGTAGTCCCAATCCCCTGTTGTAGACCTCTGCTCCTGGTTTAGCCCAGACCCATCGTAGCCCCCATTCCCCTATTATTGGCAACGTCCCATTTGCTTTCCTATTATCTCGTTATTCGAGCTTCTTTTGTATCTTTAGCACCCTGTTGTTGTTCCAGCCCCCTTTTGTTATCCTAACCCCAATTCCCATGTTGTAGCACTAGCCCCTGTTTCTATCCGAGCCCCATCCCGTGTTGTTTTCCCAACCCCCTTTTGTTATCCTAACCCCCATTCCCATGTTGTAGCACTAGCCCCTGTTGCTATCCGAGCCCCCTCCCGTGTTGTTTTCCCAACCCCCTTTTGTTATCTTAACCCCTATTCCCATGTTGTAGCACTAGCCCCTGTTGCTATCCGAGCCCCCTCCCGTGTTGTTTTCCCAGCCCCCTTTTGTTATTCTAGCCCCTGTTGTAGCCCTACCCCTGTTGTTTGTCCTAGTCCCCTTTCGCTGACCTATACCCTTAAGCTTGTTGTAATCTTTAGCCTCCGTTGAATGCTCCTGTTGTTATCCTAGCCCCTCTTCCCCTGTTGTTTTTAGTCCCTGTTTTATTCCTAGCCCTTCTTGCCATGAGACTGTCCTAGCCCCCTGTTGCTGTCCTATACCTTTGTTGTAATCCCAAGCCTCCGTTGAATGCCCCTGTTGTTGTATTAGCTGTATATATACATTAGACCTACCAGACTACATCGTGTAGCAACGCAAGTCGATGGGTATTTATTGAGGCTGAGCTAGAAACCGGAACAGCCGGAAATTGGATTATAATATTTCATGCATGGTGTGTCAGTCTTTCTTTCCGTTTTTATCAGACATAATACGAATAAAACACATTCAATACACATGTATGATGTACGGTGATACTTGACGGCTTGACATTACACGAACAATGAACACTGTGAAAAGGAAAGTGCTTCAGACGTTATCGTTTATTTATTATTCAAGACTTGAAATCTTCAAATGGAAATTTTGTCGGAAAAACTTTTCAACTCGGAGGAAAACCTTTAAAGTTGAAAAATCTTTGAGGCAGTATCATTTGTTAGCGTAGCTGACAATGTTTAGATGACAATTAATTACTTTTTGGATTTTGTTGAAATCTTTTTCGTGTTAGAAAATTAATCACTAATGAAATTCGAAGAAAAACATCTTAGAACGTTACTGCACGTACAAAGAATGCGGATGTACACGGCTAGAATCGACTAGATATCACTAACTTTTACGTGTGGGAGTGGAATTCATCACATTCCAGCGTGTATACATGAATATAGACCGTATAATGGTAAAGTCGCCGTGTCAACCAGGCCAATTATCATACCGCCAAATCAGTGTAATGGTACTACACTACCGTCCTGGTTACAAACCTTAGTCACTTTCTAATTCTGCTAAATGTGACAGCTGACAGACGTGGTAATATAACACACACACACAAGGTTTATTATAAATTATAAATACCACGACAGATAGACACGTATTACATGAACCAATAGAGGTTTCAGGTTACTTCTCACAAACGTATAGCGTTGTATTTTAGTATCTTATACAATTGACAGTCAGCGTTGATCTTGTGGGGTCAAGCGGTTTTAGTGAGTGTGACGTTATGGGGTCAAGTACATGTGGTTTTTACACCTCGTCCAAAGCCATCACATCCTTCTTTCCTTACTATAGTTTCATGTTTCTGCCCAGCACGTAAAACGAAAGCTATTTGATAGTGGTCAAGCGACAGATTTGATGTTTTCCTTTACAAATTGACGTATTGTAATTAGTTCAGGTGTATAGTTCAAGGTACGTCAGAGGGGTCACTGACTCCTAATTACAAATGTCCATACCGGGAACAAGCTGCGCCTTGCTTCACATGTACCTTATCAGACAGTATTTAGGTAGACTTTCAAAGTGAACTAAACGCATTTTGAAGTCTCTACAGCGGTAGGATTATCTCCTTGAAACCGAAGTTGATTATCTAAATGTTAAGACGGGAATGTGTTGACAGTTTGTACATGCACTGTATATATAAGATTCTAAAGTGTAGTGCGAGGCTAGCTAACTTCGGGAGTGCGATTTGTATAGGTGTACTATAAGTCTCCCGTAATCTAGTGGTAGGATTGGCTGTATTTACAATGTACATAGAATGTTTGCTATATCACCGTCGGGAGACTGTCTATGGAGTGCTTGTCTCGGGTATCTGGGTAATAAAACCATAATGAGAAAAACCCTTCAAATGTGGACTGAAGACACACTCGACACGATGTCCTCATTAAGTCAAGGGATATAGAGCTTCATATAACTCTAGTACACGGTGTTTTCAGGAAGTCGGGTGCTATGTGTGATGCAGATATACTGCACCGGGTTTCCTCTGTGCTTCATAATTTCTGCAATGTACATAGGCTACAGATGCACTCCACAATATATCCTCGGGACCTCTGGTGCTAAGTATGCTTCAGGTATACACCACGAGTGTCCCCAGAGCGTCCTATATGTAAGCTTCAGGTACACTGCGTACAATGTCCTCGGGACCTCTGGTGCTTAGAATGCAATTAGGTGCTGCAATATACGTAGGCTTCAGATACTCTCCACAAGTTGTCTTCGGGACCTCTGGTACTAATTGGTTGGTTGGTTGACGGGTTTTGCGCCTACATGAATCCGCCCTTACGGGTTTTCATCTCACTGACGGAAGTCAGTGTTCTGTCGGCGTGGTACTAAGTATGCTTCAGGTATATATACTCCACAGGGTTTCCTCATGGCGTCTTACGTGCTGTAATGTACTTAGGCTTCAGATAAACACCATATTTTGTCAACCGCTAGTTCGGTGCTTTATGAGCTTCAGATGACTTCTACAGGGTGGGGTTCCCATACTAACATGGTGTCTATAGAGCGTCAGGTTCTAAGGAGCAATTACCCATCTTCTATAGGGTTTACTGCAGTCTTTGAGCAACGCACATTGCTCCAAATAATTGGACCTTGCTCTGAATTATGTTCTCATGTGCTAAGGACAGTGCACCCTGCTTCAGTTAGATTTCCTCACGGGCTTAGGTCAAGGGGTTAATATAAAGGGTGTTTTCACATGTTTAAGTGAGGTAGTTTTGTTCTGTTCGGATGTCTTCATTGACTAGGGGGGAGGGAATATCTTGCGCCGTGTTATATGTTAGTAGTTCAGTACTAAGGTCCTGGTCTACAAATTGTCCTCCTGTGCTTTAAGAGTAG